GACACCGGCCCTCCAGGACCGAGTTTGGGCACCCCTGGTTTAGCACCACCAACAGTCCAAATTTTCATGTACATTTTAGCATGTAACTTTTGAACCAGTTGACCCTGAAACAAACTTGAAACTCTGTTTTTAATGTGACTAGATTTAAGCGCTGTTTTGAATCTTATTTTCAAATTCAGACAGAATTTATATAAAAAAATTTACCATTTTTGGAGTTTTCAAGTCAAATAAATTTTTTAAACCAAAGGTAAAGATCTAAAACGTCAGAGATAATTACAAAATAAACTTTCATGACATGATATTAGATACCCAGTCTTAATTTCACATTATAATCAAAGTTTAATTTTTGTTACTTTTTCTTTCATCAGTTTTCTTAATAGTTTTTATAACATTTTGTAGAGCTAGAACACCTTTCTGCTAGAATTATTTATTTTATTTTTATCTATTTATTTTTTATTAAGAAAAAGCTTCATTCAGCTCAACTAAACTATTAGCTTCTAACTTTTAAAGTCAAATTTGAAGCTGTAAAACTTCAGTATTTATCATATCATATATTCAGTATATATTGTAATTTTTTTTTTTTCATTCTTTTACAAACTTTTTATTTGAAAAAAAACATTCTATGAAACATAAAAATTTTTAATGACAATAATGAATGAACTATATACATTCATATATAGAATTATTATTATTATTAATATTATTTAATTTGAAATATGTTTTTCTAACAGTAATGAATTAACTTGCCGTAATTTAATATATTTGTAAAATATATTTTCATTATTTAACAAACTTTTTATTTAAAAAAATAATAATTCTGAAACGACTTAAAAAAATTTTTTAACAACAATAATGAATTCACTTTATTTATTTATCAGTATTTATCATATTATATATTTTATTGACTATATATATATATATGTATATATAATTCTTATTATTAATAATATTATAATTTAACTTTCAATATTTTCATTTTTAACAACAATAATGAATTAGCTTGCCGTAGCACATTCTAAGACACTCATTCCAGTTAATATTACAGCTATACGTTAGAAGAGCGCTCCACTCAAGTCGAACATGAAGCATTAAAACTCCAAGGGTTAATAGCAGGAGTATCAT